TTTTCTTTTAGGAGTTTTATGGTTTGGGGTCTTACATTTAGGCCTTTAATCCATTTTGAGTTTATTTTTGGTATGGTGTAAGAAAATGGTCGAGTTTCACTCTTTTGCATGTAGCTATTTGGTTTTCCCAACACTACCTATTGAAGAGATAGTCTTTTCCTCATGGTATATTCTTGCCTCCTTAATTAACCTTTGTCATTGGTTAATTAACCACGTAAGCATGGGTTTGTCTGGGGGCTCTCTATTCTGTTCCACTGATCTGGGTCTATTTTTGTGCCAGTACCATACTATTTTGATTACTCTAGCTTTGTAGTATAGCTTGAAATCTGAGACTGTGACACCTCCAGCTTTGTTCTTCTTTCTCAAAATTGCTTTTTCTATTCTGGGTCTTTTGTGGTTTTATACAAATTTTAGGATTTTTTTTCTAGTTCTGTCAAAATTACTGCTGGTATTTTGATAGGGATTGAACTGAAACTATAGATTGCAATAGGTAGTATGGACATTTTAATGATTAATTCTTCCAAACCATGAGCATGGTATATCTTTCCATTTATTTGTGTTGTCTTCAATTTCTTTCATCATTGTCTTATAGATTCCAGAGTACAATTTCTTTCACCTCCTTGGTTAAATCTATTCCTAGGCATTTTATTCTTTTTGATGCAATTGTAAATGGAGTTGTTTCCTTCATTTCTTTCTGCTACTTCATTATTAGTGAATAGAAATGCAACAGATTTCTGTATATTCATTTTGTATCCTGCAACTTTACTGAATTCCTTTATTAGTTCTGTTAGTTTTTTGATGGAGTCTTTAGAGTTTTCTATATATACTATCATGTCATCTGCAAATAGTGACAGTTTTGCTTGTTCCTTAACAATTTGGATGCCTTTTATTTCTTTTGTTTGTCTGATTGCAGTGGGTATTCTGTGCTGCAAGATTGTCATATATGGCCTCTATTATGTTGTGGTATCGTCCCTCTATACACACTTTGCTGAGAGTTTTTTACTATGAATAGATGTTGAATTTTGTTAAATGCTTTTTCTACATCTAATGAGATGATCATATGATTTTTATCCTTTTGTTAATGTGCTGTATCATGTTGATTGATTTGCAGACATTGAACCATCTTTGCATCCTGGAACAAATCCCACTTGATCATGGTGAATGATCCTTGTAATCTATTGTTGAATTCAGTTTGTTAATATTCTGTTGAGGATTTTTGCTTTATGTTCATTAGGGGTATTGGTCTATAATTTTTTCATGTAGTGTGTTTGTCTGGTTTTAGTGTCAGGGTAATGCTGGCCTCATAGAATAAATTTGGAACCATTCTTTCCTCTTCAATTTTTTTGGAATAGTTTGAGAAGAATAGGTATTAACTCTTCTTTGAATGTTTGGTAGAATTCACCTATGAAGCCATCTGGTCCTGGGCTTCTGTCTGTTGGGAGTTTTTTGATTACTGATTCACTTTTCATTACTAGTAATTGGCCAGTTCCAAATTTCTATTTCTTCCTGATTAATTCTTGGAAAATTATGTTTTTAGTAATTTATCTATTTCTTCTAGGTTGTCCAATTTTTTAGTGTATTATTTTTCACAGTCGGCTCTTATAATTCTTTGTATTTCTGTGATGTTAGTTCAACTTCTCTTTCGTTTCTGATTTGGTTTATTTGAGCCCTCTCTCATTTCCTTGATGAGTCTGGCTAAAGCTTTATCAATTTTATCTTTTCAAAGAACCAGCCCTTAGTTTCATTGATCTTTTCTATTGTTTTTTTAGTCTCTATTTTATTTATATCAGTCCAATATTTATTATTTCCTTCTACTAACTTTGGGCTTTTTTCTTCTTTTTCTTGTTCCTTCAGATGTAAGGTTAGATTGTCTGAGATTTTGTTTCTTGAGGTAGGCCTGCATCATTATAAACTTGCTTCTTTTTAGTCAAAGCATGGCTGATTTTTTTTTTTAAACTGGTCATTACTTTTGATGTTATATTATTGTTTATTCTGGTCTCTATTTTTATTTCTTTCTGATTTTTCTTTGTTATTTCCTTCCTCTACTAAATTTCAGCTAAGTCTCTTCTTTTTCTAGCTCCTTGTGGTGTAATCTTAAGTTGTTTATTTGAACTTTTTTCTTAATACAAGCATTTATAGCATAAATTTTACTCTAACATCTGCTTTTGCTGCATCCCATAGGTTTTAGAATAGTGTTTTCTTTTTCTTTTGTTTTGAGACATATTTTGACTTGCCATATTATTTCTTATTTGGCCCACTGCTTGTGCAGTAGTGTGTTGTTTAATATTTACATGTTAAATATTTAATATTTACATTGTAGATTTTCCAGTTTTGTTTTATTATTGATCTTTAGTTTTGTTTCATTGTGCTTGGAATATATCCTTGGTATGATTTCAGTCTCAAATTTGTAATATTTATCATGTCTCTTTTTTGTGCTTTAATCAGGGGATTCTTCTATGTATACTTGAGGAAAATATGTATTCTATTTTTCTTGGATGGAATGTTTTCTACACATCTCTTAGAACCATGTATTATGAAATATGCTTCAAGTAAAAAATGTTCTTGTTGAAAAAAAAATAGTAACTTTAACTGAGGGTACTCATTTAAAATAAAGCATATCAGAGGGGAGGTGGGTGGGGGATGGGTGAAATCGGTGATGGGGATTAATAGTCCACTTACCATGATGAGCACTGCATAATGATGCATAAAATTGTTGAATCACTATATTGTACACCTAAAGCTAATATAACACTGTATCTTAACTAGACTGGAATTAAAACTAAAAACAACAAAAAATTTTTAAAAAGAACTGCTTTTGCTGCATCTCAAAGATTTTGAACCGTTGTATTTCCATTTTCATTTGTCTCAAGGTATTTTTTAATTTCCTCTTTGATTTCTTCATTGACCCATTGCTTATTTGGGAGTGTGTTGTTCAGCCTCTACATTTCTATTTTTTCCAGGTTTTTTTCTTGTAACTGATTTCTAGTTTCATACTGTTGTGGTCAGAAAAGATGCTTGATAGGATTTCAATCTTCTTAAATTCAGTGAAACTTGTTTTTGTGGCCTAACATATAATCTATCCTGGAGAATGTTCCATGTGCATTTGTGCACTTGAAAACAATGTGTATTCTACTGTTTTTTGGATGGAATGTTGTGTGTGTGTGTGTGTGTATACACACACACATATATAATATATGTATATATAAAACATTCAGCATAGCTGATCTAGTGGATTGTTCAAAGGCACTGTTTCCTTACTGATTTTTTGTCTGGAAAATCTATTCATTGAGTAAGTGGTGTGCTAAAGTACCCTAATATTATTGTATCACCATGAATTTCTCCTTTCATGTCTGTTGATATTTGCTTTACATAATTAGGTGCTCCTGTATTGGGTGCATAGATATTTACAGTTGTTATATCCTCTTGTTAGATTGATCCCTTTATCATTATGTAATGCCCTTCTTTATTCCATTAAGGTTTTTTTAATCTCTTTTGCCTAATATAAGTATTGCTACTCCAGCTTTTTTTTTCTTTTTGCCTCAAATTGCATGGAATATCTTTTTCTATCCTTTCACTTTCAGTTTGTATGTATCTTTAGTTCTGAAGTGAGCCTCTTATAGGTAGCATATAAATGGGTCTTGCTTTTTTTAATCCATTCAGTCAATTGGAGCATTTAGTCCATTTACATTTAAAGTAATTACTGATACTTATATATTTACTGCCATTTTGTTAATCGTTATCTGGTTGTTTTTATTGTTCTTCTTTGTTCCTGTCTTCCTCTCTTGTTCTCTTCTCTTGCAATTTGATGACTCGATTTAGTGTTTCGTTTGGATTCCTTTCTGTGTGGGGGGGATGGGTACTATTATAGGCTTTTGACTTGTGGTTACCATTGAGGTTCATAACATCCTATATATATAACAATTTATTTTAAGTTAACATCACTTAAGTTTGAACATATTCCAAACACTACATTTTTATACCCCCACCACCTCCACATTTTATGTATATGATGTCATATTTTACATCTAGGAATCGGTTTTTGCAATGGATGCCGTTGGGACAAATGACAGTCCACATGAGGAAGTAAATAAAAATAGCCCTCTCTCTATCTCACACCATTCACAGGACCAGTATCCAAAATATAAAAATATAACAAAAAGAAAAAGGCAAACAATAGAAAATGTGCAAAATATCTGAAAAAGTGATTCATAGAAGAAGAATCACGAATGGAGAGCGAGCATGTGAAAAGAGGCATAACTGCACTAGTAACTGGGGACATGAACACAGCAACCACATTGCCATACGATTGTTCTGTTTCTCATCTAACAGAATGGAAAACATGTTATAGTCTGCCAGTACCAAAAATGTTGGCAACAGTATGGAACAGAATTCTCAAACACTGCTATAAGAATATGGATTCACACAAAACTTCGGAAAACAATTTGGCAGTAACTATTAAAGATGAAGGTATGCACAGCCTGTGACCCACCAGTTCCTTGCAAGACACATCCTGTCGAGAAATTCTGGAACATATAAATAGGGAGATGTGTGTGAGACTATCTAGCAGTTTGTGATAAGAGAAAACTGAACACTGGGGCGCCTGGGTGGCTAGGTCTGTTGAGCGTCTGACTTTTGATTTCGGCTCAGGTCACGATCTCAGGGTCATGGGACGGAGCCTTGCGTCTGCTTGAGAGTCTGCTTGAGAGTCTCTCCCTCTGCCCCACCCCCGCCCCCTGTGCATGCACATAACTTGCTCTCTCTCTCTCAAAAATAAATAAATAAAATCTTTTTTAAAAAATTTAAAAAAAAAAGACCTAAGATGCATTGCCATTATTACCATTATTGTGGACAAGTGCAAAGAATATTTTCTGCCCTATTTTACAGACTTGGAAACTGAAGACCAAGGAAAGGAGATTTTCATAAGGTCACACAGTGCCCTGTGAAAAGGAAGACATGTCCCCTGGAAGCCCTCTCCCTGCCCTGGGCCACACACCCCGCACCTGACAAGAGTCCATGCCCCATTCTGAGCTGACACACAGCATGTCGTGCCCAATGAACTTCTTCTGGTCCTTCAAGAAGAGGAACTGGTACTGCTGATGGCAGGTTTCACTGTTTATGATCTTGACAGCCACCTCCTGAAGACTGTATGGGGTCTTTGGGGTTACTGAAGAGACTGAGAGAGAGAGAGATCCTGCCTCGTCATCCCTTCAACCATTTGGCATGCCTCCATCTTGAAGTTGTCCAGATTTACTAGGGTGGGAGGCAGGGCCATTTCCTGGGATGGCACTTTGTAAAGACCCCCATCCCCACAGCCTGACATTTTTGGAGAAAAAAAAAAAACCCTAAGCTCATTAAAAAGACTGAAGCAAGAGTATCCCCCTGAGCAACATCTAGGCACTGAATGAGGACAAGGAGAGACTCCTTCAATAATTCAGGTTTCAGGAGGGTGGGGGCTGAGCACTGACTGCTCCATGGCTACCTGGCAAGATGTCAAGACCCCAGAGCCCAAAGTGTGCCACCCCCTGGAAGGCAAGATCCCACAAACACTCTTAGATTCTAGGCCTCGAGGGTGGCACCCACAGAGGCCAGATCTTCAGGAATTATTGGTGCCTGGAGGTAACAAATATGCATGAATGCAGCCCAATGCCTTACTGCTTCCTGAGACCGTGGCCCATGTGCCACTTGCAGACAGAGAACCCCACTGATAGCCAAAGATCGATTGCCTGCCATGCTGCAAGGTGAGGGCTTGGCACTAGATTTAACTTCACTTTGGCAACGGAGGTTCATGCAAGCCATGTGTGTCTTTTACACGAGAGCACTGTGTGTATCTTCCTAGCAACAGAGGTCAGGATAGTGTGCAGCATGTGTGAGCGCTCAGGAATGTTTGTTGATGGAGGGAACAGGTGAATCAAGGAATGAACAAATGAGAGGCGCCTGGGTGGCTCAGTCGGTTGGGCATCTAACCCTTGATTTTGGCTCAGGTCATGATCTCGAGGGTCGTGGGATCAAGCCCCATGTTGGGCTCCGGGCTGGGCATGGAGTTTGCTTGGGATTCTCTCTCCCTTTGTCTCTCTCCCCACCCCAGCCCCCGCTCATTCTCTCTCAAGTAGATAAATTAATTAATTATTTTTTTTAAAAAGATGGGAATAAACAAATGACCCCATGCTGAAGTTGTGTTCTGAAGAGGTCGGTGTCTTGGGACCTCTGCCTGCCTTCACCCACCTCCAGTGCTTTTATGTCCCCACCCGATCGCCCAGCACATGGTTCCGACAGAAAGCTTGAATCTGTTGTTGGGTAGGCAGACAGGCTGGATGAGCGGGGACCAGGAGATGGGGTCTCTGAGCTTCAGGAGGGCAATATCGTGGGATATGAGGTTGTGGAAATCCTCGTGAATCACGATGCGGGTAAGCAGGAGCTGGGTGCCGTTGTCTGAGAGGCTCTGGACTCCCACCCTCACGGAGTACATTTTGGGGTCCTTGGATCTGCAAGGCCATGGGTAGGAGGCAGGTTGCCAACAGTGAGACCATAAGTGGTTGGAGAGACACAGACTGAGCACAGGGTAAGCCAGCCAGGTCCCTAGTCCCAGGTCCCCAGATTTACCGGGGGGCCCCCCAGGCCAGAAAGCAAAGCCCCCGGGACTGGCTGGGTGCCCTGACTGACCTCTGCAGGCAGTGCGCAGCCGTGAGGACCCACTGATGGTGGATGAGGGAGCCGCTACAGATGTACACGCCCAGAAACAGGATGCTCACCTGCCATGGCCACTTGCCTACCTCCACCAGCTTCCCCTTCACCATCTTGCAGGCGATGTTGGTGTGACCGCAGGTCTGGAACCAGCGTTCTAAGGAAAAAGGTAGAAAGGGGACTGTGCCAGCCCCGAGCAGGTTCTCAAGCGGCCCTCCCAGCACCATACACAGCAGACCATCGAGGCAGAGAGGGCCACATTCCAGCCATTGCACAGGTGGGCCAGGGCGTTTCATACAGCCCTAAAAATGACAACCAAAGGTCCAGAGGCAACAAGTGCCCCACCTGATAAAGCAATCCGCCAAACGAGGGGGACCAGCCAGCCCCTCCATGGCTTGTTGGGAACCACCACCCCAGGATTCATCTCTGTGTGCTTGTTTACAGGGGCAGATGGTTAGAGTAGCAAAGGAGGAGACTCATCCGAGGAGTGAGTTGCCGGTCAGGGGGTAGGTGATGGGGCACAAGTGAGCAGGATGGCTTGTAGTTGTGCAGTGATGTTGCATTGCACAATTCCAGCACCCGCCTTCACAGCCCCCCCAAGGGGTGTGCTCTCTGTGACCATATGAGGAAGTGAGTAGAGATGCTTGTCGGTCCCCTCCTTGCCCCTCCCTGTCCCCAACAACAGGAGTGGGAGCAGAAGGAGCTACACGGAACTGATTTTGAGACTGAGGCTTTGAACTGGCCTATCTTGGACTGGTATTTATTAACTGAACATTGTTGAGGACAGGAAAGGGAGAAATTCTACAGCAAAGGTTGGAGACCAAGATGAAAGACAAATAAAAAGTTTTTTTTTATGTATATGGCCTTCTGTCAAGTTTGGGCTGGCCAACAAGCTGTTAACATGCAGTCATGGATCCTCACAGAGGCAAAGCTAGACAAGTGTTTACACCCGTCGGAAGCTGGCGTGGTCCCAGAAAGTCTGTTTCCCTCCGTGTGCATGCCAAGCAGAGCATCAGGGACTCAGCAGCAGTAACCAAGGCTTGTCCTTGCCTGGGGGAGGGTCCATGATGCTGGTGGAGGGGTTCATTAATAAACAGAACAAGGCTAATAATCTATGGTGGTCCATATACATTAGCAGAAGCACTTAGCGGGCCCTGCCTCATGGAAATTCCCCCCAAACCATTCTACCACGTCCCAGGGCTCCTGGTATAATGACATGTAGATGGCCGGCTCCCTTGCCACAGACTTTGTGGCTGGACACCCTCACCCTCAACCAGGGCCTTCCACAGGGTCCACGGGCACCCTCATGAGTCCCCACATCTCCATGGACTTTTGTCTTGCCTTGTTCTCTTGCTGCTCCTTTCTTGCTCGTGTCCCTGTCCGATGGTTTGCCGTCCTATGTTCCACCTCCCCCCAGGGGGAGTCACATTTCCAGCTCCTCTCATGTGCTGTGGTGGGGTCGTGGCTACCTTGTTGTTTCAGGTTACAGCCTGCCCCATGGACACTGTCCCATTCCGGGAGGAAAGAGGAGTTCCAGAGGCTTGCCCTTTCCTTTCTCACAAAGCTGTGGGCCCTGCAGAACCAGGGCTCTGCAGAATGACCTTCAGCACCTAAAAAGTGACAGTCCTGGGGGGCAAGTGTGGGCTTCGCCTCTGCGCTCCACACCCGGCGTGGGTTCCCCAGGCTCAGAGAACTGCCCTCCTCAGAACTCACATCCAAAACAACACCAACTCCAACCTCCTTCCTCGAAACCTCACGCAGGAATGGCAGGATTCAGCCTGGAGATGCCAGGCCCCCCCATATCTGGGGGGGGAGCCACGATGGATTGGTTGGGGGCAGGAGGTGTTGCAGATCAACCTCGCCAGAGGCCCAGCCTCACCATCCCACACACAGGGGACACTCAGGGGCTCAAACAGACTCCATTGCAGATAACCTCTACCCCTTCTTGGAGCCTGGAAGTCACGGCACACCCACTTACAAGCCGCACCTCGATGTCATGGCCCACACTCACCTGTGGTGACAGGAAGACCTGTTGTAGCTCATTGACCTCTGTCTCTGTAAGGTCACAGCCTGCCACCCCCACCCCCACATCATCATAGGCACCTCAGTCAGCTCTGTGGAGCAATGCCCATCCTCACCATCCTAAAATGTCCCCGATGTCTAGCGGCAGCCCGGAGTGGGAGAACACTCACTCACTCGCTCGCTCGCTCGCTCTACAAGGCACTGGTCTGGGAAGGGGAGTCGCGCAGTGAGGGGAAAAGGAAAGGTGGGGTCCCTGAGTTGGGGAGCATGTCCCTACTCACAGACACCATGCGAGCATGTGTCCTGCCAAGTGGGAGGACGGTCAGCGGGCAGGTGACCTGAGCCAGGGCCGCCACCACCAGATCACACATGGTTGCTTAGTGCGGGGAGCCAAAGGGCTTCTGTCACACGGTGGCCCAAATGTTTCACCACGGAGAATCTGCTGAAAACTGGTGTTGAATCCTGGCTCCACAAGTCACTTAAGTCCCCTGGGCCTTGGTTTCCTCTCGTGAAATGGGGACACTGTAAAGCCCAGCTCACAGGGGCATTGAGACCTTAAGTCAGTAGCGTTAAGTGGTCACTCACGCCTCACGTTGTCATCCCAAGTCCTGGTCTTCTTAGATCGCGCTTCCCAAACAAGCTCATCTGGTCCATGGTTGTTAGCTTGTTCCCCAATTTCTTTTTTTTTTTTTAAGATTTTTTTTATTTATTTGTGAGAGAAAGAGCCCAAGCAGGGGGAGCAGGGGCGGAGTAAGAGGGAGAAGCAGGCTCCCCGCTGAGTAGGGAGCCCGATGCAAGACTCGATCCCAGGACCCTGGGATCATGACCCAAGGCGAAGGCAGACACTTAACCGACTGAGCCACCCAGGCGCCACTGTTCCCCAGTTTCTAACAAGGCTCTTCCCTCGTGGTCATGGCCACCCTGCAAACTAGAACGGCTGTGACACCAGCTGGGTCCCTAGGCTGGCACACCATGCAGGCTGGTGACGATGTGCCCCTCAGGATACAGAGAAATTTAGGCATGAGGACAGCACCCAGGCAAACAGACCCCTCCTGCCTCTCTCCCATGTCCCTAAGGCCCTACCTTCAAAATACAGTGGGGTCCCAACTCTGGCAGAGGAAAATGGAGATGTGAGGCTCTGAAGATCTCCTGGCCCACACGCCATGGCTAGCAGGTGCCCAGCCTGCACTGGTCCTCATAAAGGGACGTGGGGGTGGGGTGGGGCAGGGTGTCTCCCCTGTGTGAGAATTCTAGAACTCATGGTTTGTTTATTCACGGAAGCGGGGATTGGGCCGTTGCCCCCGGGTCGGGGGCTCACCCAGCTGCGGCAGAAGCAGGATCCCGAGAAGGAGACAGTGTGGTGATGGTGAGGGCCCGCCAGGGTCACTGTGGGATGCTGCCACCAGGCCCCCCCCTGGAATGATTCTCCTGGTGCCTATCCCTGAGCCTGTGACAGCACCCGGTATCTGGCCCACGACAATGCCTCCCGGGCTCTGGCTTGGCTTTGATGGCGCCCCTGTGTACCCAATCCTGAGTCTACTACAGCCCACCTGTAGACCCTGGTGCCCGGTCCAGTCTCCTTCATGAAACCCTTCTGAGGGCACCCCGAAGGTGTAGGAACTGAGGCACTGGAAGAGGATAATGGCTCATTCCTGCTGCAGGGGGGCCTGAGCCAGAACTAGAGTTTTCCTTTCTCCCACAGGCTTGGCTCCTGGGTAGAGGAAGGCCAGGCATTCTGGGCCTGGGAACGTGACTTTCTGAGAGGAAGCAGCTTGCAGGCCTGGGTCTTCATGAGCCAGCAGAAGACATGCCTTCTTGGGACCGCTCCCCAGCACCTCACTGAAGTCCCCTCCCCAGGGACCCCATGCTCCTCACACTGTCCATTAGGACTGCTCACTCCTGCCCACCCCATCACCAGCATTACCGAGGACGCAGGGTAATGAGGTTGCTGACACACTACTGGCGGGGCGGTGGATGAACCAGGCCACCATGGCGGGGAACTTCGGGATCACTTAGTAAAGCAGAGTTATGTGCCTACCCCACAACCTGCTTGCGTGCCCTAGACACGGTCATGCACAGATGCAGCAGGAAAGGTATGAGAGACGGTTCATGGCAGTACTGCTGGTTAGAACCCCAACTGGAAGCTACCCAACAGCCCCCAAAGGGCTCAGCCCTCAAATGTGGAGGCTCAGAATACTCACCAGCAGTGAGTGGCCTGCTCCACGTAGCGATGTGGCCAATCTCAGAAACAAACAAACACAGAAGAAAGAAGTCAGACACAGAAAAGTACATACCGCATGAAATTCAAAAACAGGCAAAACAAACTATGTCTAGAGATCCATGGCAGAAAATCAAGGAAATGATTATCCCTACAATCAGATTTCCCGTAGGGGAAAAGGGGGAGAAAGAGAGAGAGTGAAAAAGGAAAAAGAAAAGAAGGGAAGGGAAGGGAAGGGAAGGGAATCCAGGGAAGAAAAACCCTCTCTACTCTCCGGCCTTGGTGGAAAATAATACTCTAAGGGGATCAATCAATGAAACAAAATAAGAAAATTCAATAAAAAACCAAGCATATCCATCATCACCACCGATGTGAATACAAAAACCCTCTACTTTTTAAAGGTCAAAGATTCTTACATTGGGTAGAAGAAAAGGCCCCTCACATGCTACTTATCGGTGAGCCACCTAAAACAGAGTGACAGGAAGCAGTCAAAAGTAAAAAGGCAAAAATATAGTAAGTATATGCAAGCGAAAATAGAAGTGTCAGTGTTGCTCTCTAGAGATGTGATTCAGGACCAAAGCTTTACACAGAAAAAGCTATTTCATGCTGGGAAAAGATAAAAATTAGAAGGACTATGTAACATCATAAAGTTCTGAACACCGATCACATAACATCCAACCTATAAAGCAAAGTCAATCAGTGATCTGCGAGAAACTGAAACACCTCACTTTAGGGGACGGCCTTCTCCGACTGTCTTTGGGGGATGAAATAGCTATAAAAACCAACCACACACTAGATTACCAACAGCACCGTGATAACCACCCTAAAAGCTGAACAGTTTGGGCCACGGTTTTGTACCACGATGCAATGACACAGGGATTTAATAACGAAAGAGTGCGCAACTTATCTGAAATTTTTAAAAATACACTTTAACTTATTTTGTAGAAATAACATTCTATAAACTCTTCAGGAAATATTAATAATTAGAGTAATGCATTAAACACTTACTGGGTGTGTTCAAGGCAAATCCACAACCTTAAAGGCATTTATTATTGAATAACAAAGAATGAAAACAAATTAAATGCTCAAATCAGGAAACTGTAAAAGGTATACAATAAAGCCAAGTTGGGTGCCTGGGTGGCTCAGTCATTAAGCGTCTGCCTGGGGCTCGGGTCATGATCTCGGGGTCCTAAGATCGAAGCCCGTGTCGGGCTCCCAACTTAGCTGGGAGCCTGCTTCTCCCTCTCCCTCTGCCCCTCCCCCGTTCCTGTTCACTCTCTCTCCCTCTCTCAAATAAATAAATAAATTTTTAAAAAATAAAAAAATAAAGCCAAGGAAAATCTTTTGGAAACGTACAAAATATAAAATTATACCCTAATCAATTAGAACAGCAGAATTATGAATGAACTCTATGATCTGGATCTTTGAAAAAACAAATAACATCAATTGGGACAAAGATAAATTTTATACTGCTAGGGTATAACCCACCAATATGGGTAGTAAGCATATACTTTGCACTCCTACCAAAATAGACTTGAAACATAAAGCAAGAATTGCTAGAACTGCAAGAAGTCTTAATTCTCATGGTAAACCTCTCAGAAATCGATGGATTATATAGACATAAAATATTTGAAGTGTTGAAAGGATTTGAATAATACAGTCAACAAACCTGGTTCAGTCAGTTATGGCTAGAACTTTGTTTCAAAACACACAATGCTTTCATTTCAAACACACATGAAATATTCACTGAAACTGACCAGATACTGGGCACAAATGAAACCTCAATAAAGTGCAAAACATAAAAATAATTAAATCCACACTGTGATATAATTTCTAATGGGGGGGGAAGAAGTCCCCATCCTCCCCAAACTATCCATCAGGAGATTAAATAACACTCTTCTATGGAACTCTTGGGTTAAATAAGAAACATACCACAAAATTAGAAACAATGAATTGAATGATAACGAATGATAATGAGTTCAGTACATATCAACTCCTGCGCAATATGGCCAAAGTAAGACCCAGAGGAAATTTTATAGAATTAAGTGAAAATATTAGAAACCAAAGAAGTCTGTAATAACTGATTCAGCATATGACTCAAGAAGTTAGAAAAAGGACAGTAAAATAAGTCCCCCCAAAAGTGGGTTAGAATTACTAAAACTAAAAGAGCTTTAGTGAAATGAACAAAAAAGATCTGATTACCAAAACCAAAAGTTAGTTTGTACCATTTAGGAGTCTCCAAATAAGAGAAACTTCCACTCAAATAGGCTTAAAACTTGTGTCCTCTCTTCAGTGGTAGCAGCTTCCTCCTGAGTTGGTCCCCTTGTTGAGAAATGGATACCAGCTGCACTGGGTGATGTACAGAAATGTTGAATCACTGTATTGTACACCTGAAACTAATCTCACACTGTATGTGAACTAACTGGAATTTAATTAAAAATTTCTAAAAAATGGTTGCCAACAGCCCACATCCTTCTGCTTTCTCACCCACATTCAGAGAAAGAGTGTGCATGTCTCTCCTCTAACCATGCGTTATGCTGGCTGGGTAACCCAACTGGAGCCAGCTGTCCAGGGCACTGGACTAGGCTAACTCGGTCAGACTCCTGGGAGCTGGGAGTGTGACAGCTTCACCCTGAAGAACGTGAGCAGCATGGCAGAGTGGCAGGGCTACAGACCAGGACCTGGGGTAATATGAGGGAAGGATGGATACCATAAAGCTAAACAATAAGGTATACCAGATAGATTTTTTTAAAGATTTTATTTATTTATTTGAGAGAGAGAGAGAGCAGCAGAGGGAGAGAGAATCTCAAGCAGACTCCCCACTGAGCGTGGACCCAACACCGGGCTTGATCCCACGACCCTGAGATCATGACCTGAGCCGAAATCACAAGTTAAGACACTTAACCGACTGAGCCACCCAGGCATCCCTACCAGATGGATTTTTTAAAACACCTATGAAATAGACAAAAATCTGGCAATTCTAATCTTTAATAATTAAGAAAGGGGAAAGAATACATATATAAATAATATTAGAAATGGGAAAGAGGCCATAGGTTCAAATTTTATCCATCAGTTTGAAATGTAAGAATCTAAGCTAAAGTAAAGTGATTTTCTACACTAAAATTACTGCAAAAAGAGGTGGGAAACCCAACTAGGCCAATAACTATACAAGATATTTTTTAAATAGTCAAAGATTTGTCTGTCCCTTAAAAAAAAAAAAGCCATCAGACCCAGTGAGTTTTATGTGCACAATCTACCAAACCTCAGGAACAGATAATGCTGGCATTGTATAAATTGCTCTAGGGCACAGGAAAATACTAGAAAGCTTCTCAACATGGTTTAAGAGGCTACCACAGCAATGACACCAAACTTAACAAATGGTGGGGCAGGGCGCCTGGGTGGCTCAGTCGTTAAGCGTCTGCCTTCAGCTCAGGTCATGATCCCAGGGTCCTGGGATCGAGCCCCGCATCGGGCTCTCCGCTCCGCGGGGAAGCCTGCTTCTCCCTCTCCCACTCCCCCTGCTTGTGTTCCCTCTCTCGCTGTGTCTCTCTCTGTCAAATAAATAAAATCTTAAAAAAAAAAAAAAAACCAAATGGTGGGGCAGAGAGGAAAAGTGGAGACCAATCCAACTTTAGGGCAGAAATTCTAAACAAAATGCCAGCAAATAGAATCCACAGTGTATTATGGGATTTATCTAAGAAATGTACTAAGTTCTAGTAATGAATTTCATTATGTGAACAAATTAAATAAGAAAAACCATATAATCTATCTTAATAGTTCATTACTGTGTCACCAAGGCCCAAAACAGTGCCCGGCACAGTGAAGTCTCCCAGGAAATATCTGTGAAGCACATGAAGGCTGAGGTCAGGGTCAGCACATGGACCCCCACCATTACTGCCACTATTTTACACTGTGTTAGCGGTCACAGGCAATGAGATAACAAAAGAAATAAATGGTAGGATTTTCAAAAAGGATACGACGTAACTCTCACCATTTTAGGGAATTTGATTAGCCAAAAATAAGCCAAAAGAATCCACTGAGAAACTGCTGAATTAAATAAGTCAGTTTTGCAAGATGACCAGGAATCAAGATCACTGTTTTTTTTTTTAAATCAGCAGCTTTAAAATACCTAACATATAAAATTAGAAAAAAAATATAATGGGAGGAGATATCATCCACAATGAATATAACCAAAATTTGCAAAATACTTAGAAATAAACTCAATATTTTTCCAGACATCCATGAATAGAAGAGCCGAATGAATGGAGACATATACCATACCCCTGGTTAGGAATTCAACATTGTAAAATTAGTCTGCGTATCTAATTTCAATTCAAATACCAATAGTCTCTTTAATGAAAACTGACAAACTGATTGTAAAGTTTACATGGAAGATAAACTCTGTAGATTAGGCTCTTTTTTTTTTTTTTTTTTAAAGAGACCTTTTGCTACCATTTAACAAAACGTAACCTAAAGCTGTTTGAAACAGTACAGCACTGACCCAGGGACAAACAGATCAGTGGGAAAACAACAGAGGTTTCAAAAACATACACATGGATATGTTAAGATTTCCTTATTATAAATGCAGATATTCAAATCAGCAGGAAAAAGACAGGCGCTACAAGAAATAGTATCAATGGGATTGGCCCTCCAGTTGGAAATAGAGTTGGATCCCCACCTCACACCACACATAAAAAGAAATTTCAAACGGATTACAGAGTTATGCATAAAAAATAAATGTACTGAAATAAAAAGAAATACAGGAAGATAGCTTTTATAATCTGGAGATGGAGAAGACCACCTTCAGCTAGACACAAAACCCATAAAGTAAGTAAAGACTGACTGATTTGATTCCATAATAATTTTATTTAAGAAAAAAAGATTTATTTATTTGAGAGAGAGAGAGCACACGCAGGGGGAGGGAGAGACAAAGGGAGCAGCAGGCTTCCTACCGGGCAAGGAGCCGATGCCGGGGCTTGATCCCAGGATCTCCGGATCATGACCTGAGCCAAAGGCAGACACTTAACCTACTGAGCCACCCAGGCACCCCTTGACTCCATGATAAATTTAAATTTTAAAGGTCTGTATGGAAAACTTCCATCATTCCCCCCATTCCACATATTTCTAAAAGATAAAGAAATGTTTGTAAAATAATTGACAAAGGCTTAGTGTTCAGAAAAGATAAAAACTTTCCTAAGAAAAAGAAAAGCAACCCAATCTTAAAAATAGGCAAAGTGTATGAAGAGAGGATTTACTAGAGAAAAGGCATATCTTTTCATCAATAAACACATGAAAAGATACTTTTCCAATCAGGAAAATACAAATTAAAACAGCAATGATATAATAACGTTCTATCATTGGATTGGGCACATTTTTAAAGATTGATAATATCCATCTTTAGCAAAAGGGGAAACGTTCACTCTCCCATGCTGTAGGTATGAATGTAAACTGGCTCAGCTTTGGGGAGGAATACTCTTTGATCGTCCTCATCCAAAACTATTAAATTTGTGTGTCCTTCGATGACTGTCCTGCCCTCAGCCCACTCCCAGGAAGAGAGGTGCAGAAATGTTTCAGAGTGCCCTCCCCCCGCCCCACCACATGCACGCAGCCCTGCCGCCAGGCTGACGAGTCTGAAACGGCCTAAAACCTGGTCCCGGTTACAGAGCCTATGTCCCAGCCGCACAGAACACGTGCAGTAACGTCACATGATGACTAGCTCTAAGTACTGACAGAGAAAGTTTGTCAACGTGTGTAATTTTTTAAAAATGTGGATTATGAACAAGACATATAAAATCCCACTTATTTTTTAAGAATCATAAAGACATTTTATTTAAGGATGCCAACAGATTACTCCTGGGGAAGGGAGCAGCACTGGTGGTGGGAGGTGGTTGGGGGGGGTGGGGCGGAATCTTTACATGTATTTCTGAATATTTTCAGTAAATCACAAGAATGTATTCAGAATTGCCTATAATTTAAAAAAAAGTTTTAAAGATAAAAACATAGATGATGAACATGTAATACTTCTGTAAGCAGTTTTTAGTGCCGTTAAAAAAAGAAAGAAAGAAAGAAAGAAAGCTAAATTTGGAGCACTTTAGGTGAGTCCTTCCTACAGTCAGCCTATGAGGCATGTTTCAGCTGCTCCCTTGCAGCAGGCCCACTTTACAGATGAGGAAACTGAGGCCTCGGGCTCAGGCCCTTTTCCTATGCCCCTGCACTAGTGACATCGTAAAAACCATCAGCCTCCACTCTGGGGAGCCTGCTGACAGAATTCATTCCAGGAGTCCCTGCCCTCCCACCCACCCTCAACCCCCCAGTGTCGCCCAGAAAAGAGAACAGAGCCAGCTCACATTTGTACAAATTTAATCCCTGCTCTCCTGGTCCCCAACTCCAGAGCCCTTCTAGGCCACACTTCCCTTCTCCTGGTCACCCAAGGCCTAGTCATCCACCACATCCCTCCCCACTGGGATCCAGTGCAGAGCCCCATCTCCCAGGGGCCACTCTTTCCCCACCTTGACTCCTGTTGAATACAGACACATGACCTTGGTCTAACCTTGATCTGGACCCATCCAGCAGAGGCAAAGCAGGAAGAAGAAGAGAGAGCGGCGATCAAGGACCCATCTGGGGCTGCAGCAGCCAGAACAGGAGTAGGAACCAGGCGGAGGTTTGGGGGCCTGAGAGAGGCCCACTGCTTATTTGCTTCTTGATCCACTTGCTGTATTTGGTGACGCGGGTGTACACGCCTGGGTTCTCTGCTTTGGCACAGGCCTTTTCCCAGGACAACACCCCAGCCAGAATCCATCTGCCCTCGACTTCACAAGCCAATGGGCCCCCAGAATCCCCCTAGGTAAAGAGAGAAGAATAATGGAAGCTCTGGGCCCCACTGGGACCCAGGACCCCAGAGGACCCAGGATGCCCACCCTCTGACTTCTCTTGGAAGATTCTTTCACTCCCTGAGGATCTCACTACATCCTTCAGCTCCTCCTTCAGCTCCTCAGCTGTAGACCCATCCCAGAATATCAGGCAAAATCAAAGTCCCAGGGCAAGGAAGATGGGAGCAGAGCACTACCTGGTGATGGTGACAAAGAGGGAAGCCAAGCAAACACCTCCCCGGAAATTCCCCCCTACACCCTGGGAGTCGCTCCCAACCGAAGAACTGCCAGGACCTCCCAGAGACTCACAGAGCACAGGTTTTCTCCATAATTGGTGGCACAGATCATGTCCCCCAGGACAAGGGGGGCAAGGTGGGGGATGGGGGACTTCTTGCGGTAAATCTGGTCACACTTCTTGTTGTCCATGATAAACACCTCAGCCTCCTGCAGCTCTGCGGTCAGTGTGGAGTTCGCTGTGGAGGAGCCCAGCAGGGTGAGAAAGGACTCCTCACTCCACTGAGCCCCGGCCTCTTGCCAGGGCCCCGTCGCCTCCGTTTCTGAGACTCAGCCAAGCCACGCCCCTTCTCACCGCCATGCCCTCCTTCACCCGTCTGTCCCCCTGCGGTGGGGACCGTGTCTGACAAGCCCCTCACCCTCTCAGGCTCTCTTTCGGGATCCTTTTCTCTGGGAAGCTTTGGCTTCCGAACCAAGCGGACCACGATCCAAGTTTCAGTGCAACCACTCACAAACTGAGACCCCAACCACTCACAAACTGAGACCCCAACCACTCACAAACTGAGACCCCAACCACGTCCTGCTTCTCTCCGGCCTCTGGTTGTGCCCTCTGTCACCTGGTTACACTCGCTCCCCGCCTCTGGCATCTCAAATAGACCCCTGCCCAGAGCTCATCCCAGATCCCTCCCAGCTTGATCTCAAGGTCACCTGACAAAGTCTTTGCCTCTTTCCTCATCAGCCTGGGCCCCCACCCACACTCAGTGACGAGTGCCCTGCAGGTAAGACACGTGTTAACTGACTTGAAGGGTTTGGTGTGCGGCAGACGCTTGGGGCTTGTCAGGTGAATGAATGAGTGGGCGAGTAAATGTAGGGTTCCCTGACTCTGAGCTGCCATAAGAGGCAAAAGATCATGCCCAGCCCAGGTGCTGCTAGACCTGGGCGAGGTGCCCACAGCAAGCACAGTGGTGTAAACCATGAGAATGGTTTCCACATGAGGTGAGTCCTAACACATCCAAAGAACCAGGGCCCGGAGGTAACAGCCACAAGCTTCCTGAGAGGCACCATGAAAGGTTCCAGCAGGCAAGGCCCCAGAAGGAAGGCGGTGCCCCCTCTGTGGTTCTGGACCCCACCCTCGACCCATCACCTCGTGCTCACCTGAGAAGCGCTGTTTAACCTGGCCCCAGCCAGTCACCCAGCACTGGGTCCCAACCTTGAGGTTGTAGCTGGGCTCCGGGAGGCAGATGGGCTGCACATACTTGCTGAAGGTGGCCGGGCTGTGAAGCTGGAGAAGGGCAACATCCCCCATGATGAAAGTCCGGCCCCAGAACTTGGGGTGCATGACGATGTCCTTCACAGGGATCAAGGCAGGCTGCAAGGGCTTCAGCTTGGAGGTGCCAAGAATCACTGAGTATTCTTTGGTGCTACAAGGAGACATACAGCCCCGGCTAGTAGATGTCAGGTTCGCCAACAACACAATGCTCCTACCTCCACCGAAGACCCTCTCCCTTGGCAGAAGCCCTGCATGATTTGCTCTGCTCACTCCATCTTCCTAATCCAGCCTGGAGGCTCTCAGGGTCAGAGGTATGACTGACTACCTCCCCATTCACTGTCCAAGTCGATCCAAGGTGGCCTCATCTCTGTGCAGCGTACGCGAGCACGCAGGTGTCGGTACACGTGTATGTTCTCGTGTGTGTGAGGGGTGGGGGGGGTGAGGTGTAGGAGCTGTCTGCTGGGTTTCCCTGCTGCCCTGCTCAAGATACAGTCTTTGTTGCTTGGGGCTCCTGTGAGACCCTGAGCAGGACTCTTCCCCATTCTGGACATCCCTTCCTCCTCCCCCTCACCTCCCGACTCCCACACTGTTTCACAGAGGAAACGGGGGGGATGCGCTAGGCCCGTGGCAGCCCCGGGTCTCCAGGCTGGGGACACAGGAGCCACACTCACCCTTGGATGCAGTGGGCAGCAGTCACCACCCAGTCGAGTTCAATGAGGGCCCCTCCACATATGTGCTCATTCTCCAGCCGGACGCTCACCTCCCAGGGCCAATGGCGGGTCACGTCCAAGTCCTCTGACCACCAGGGTCTGCCACAAACTTCAGGGACAATGTGCCAGAGAGACACTGTGACCACATACTGAAGGATGAGGACAACTAAGACCAAGACGCCCCCCACCCCAGGACAGTGTGCCCAAAGCTGTAAACCAGGGGCTTGTCCCCATTTCAAAGATGGGGAGACAGGGTGAGAGAAGGACAGAGGCCTGCCCAGAGGCACTGTGCTAGACAAAAAATGACAGTGACAGAGATACAAGGCTTCAAGACAGAGACATAAAGACATCACAGGGGAGAGAGATACTGAGACAACAGGGAGCAATTAGCAGGGAGCCCCAAAACAAGGGAGAAGCCCAGGAGGAGCCCCGGGACAAGCCATGCATTCTCTTGTGTCTGGCTTAAGTCCCGAGGCCATGTTCCTGAAGGGCTATAACGCTTGCTGCATCTCTTCGATGCAGAAGGCCTCTGTCCCCACATTACTCGTAGCTGAGAAAACTTCCAGACTTCTGTGTCAGAAACCATTACACAGGCCATTCAAGAAAGAGCCTCAGCATGGAGCCCACAGAGGTCCCCCCACTCACAGCTTATATAGTCTTTGTCTGCACGGAGTTCCAACACAATCAAGTGGTACGGCTGTATGAACGAACACAGATGCAAAAATTTCTAAACAGAATATTACTCAACATTATATTTTGAAAAAATAACGCACCACGATCATGTAGAGATTGTCCCAGGAGTGCAAGGGTGGTCCCACAATGGAAAAGCCCTCAGTGTATTTGCCACATAAACGGTTCTTTTTCTCTAAAGATCATATGCTCTTCTCAAAAGACATAGAAAAAGACATTTGAAAAATTCAACACATATTTATGACTAAAAAAAAAAAAAACAGAAACAAAAACACCTCTTACTTAGTTTGGAACAGAAAGGAAATCCTTAACTTTATAAAAGTTAGAGACCACAAACCTACCAGCAAATACCATATAACATTAAGGAACAGGCAAAAAGATTCTATATGGTCAGAAGCCAGGAATAATGGTACTTTGTGGGAGGAAGGCAGGGGAAGTAAACGAGAGAGCATAAGGGAGATTTGGGGCTGGTATAGCTCTACTTTCTGACCAAGACAGTAAGTAACACAGGTGGGTTCACTGTGTGATAATTTCCTAGGCTGGACACTTAAAATTTGTGTACTTTTGTGTGTGTATATAATATTTCAACAACTTACTTTTTAAATCAGTTACTTTTCTACTCCAGCACAATCAACTAGAAAATATATTCAAAATATATCTTATCTTCAATAACAAAAAATCGTAAGTACCAAGAAATTAACTTATCCAACACTATGCCAGATTGCTGTGGTGATACATTTAAAACTCTAATAAAGAAAAAAATAAATAAAGCCCTAATAAAGGACACTGAAAAGGATCAGCACAAATGGAGAGACATCCCTTGCTTTTAAATAAACAACTAAACATTTCATGGTGTACTTTTTCCCAAAAGTAATTGATAAAGTCATTTTCCAAGTTAGAATTTTAGGAAACTTTATAAACTTACTCCAAAATTGAAGTAGAAAAACGAAAGTCCATGAATAGCTCAGTCTCTGAAAAAGTAGAACATAAAGGGACACTTGTCCTAGCAGGTATCAAGACACATATCAAAGCCATAACAGCAAAAACAGTGTGATATTGACAAGGACAGACAAATGAAGCAATGGAAAAGAATAGAGAGCTTGAGATTGTCCTGGGGACAAAGGAACTTAATGTAAATAAAGAAGCCACTACCATCAGTGGGTGAAGGATGGATGTTGAATAGATGGTGTTGGGAAAACTGACTCACTATAAGAGATTTAAGAAAAACAAAACTGGATTCCTCCCTAGCAGCACTTGGAGATCTAAATAGGAAAGTGAAACTCTAAAGTTAACAGTAGGCCATATGACATGGGGTGAGAAAGGGCTCCCTAGACAAAATCTCAAAACAAACCATAAAAACATCAAATTGATTAATTTTATTACATCAGAATTAAGGATTTCTTTTTTTACCCTGGGAATAAAGTTAACTGGCAGATGACAGATTGGAAGGCAATATTTGCAATATCGAAAATCAATACAAGGGCGCCTGGGTGGCTCAGTTGGTTAAGCGTCTGCCTTCGGCTCAGGTCATGATCCTGGAGTCCCGGGATCGAGTCCCGCATCGGGCTCCCTGCTCAGCGGGGAGTCTGCTTCTCTCTCTGACCCTCCCCCCCCATGCTCTCTCTATCTCATTCTCTCTCTTAAATAAATAAAATATTTTTTTAAAAAATTTAAAAAAATTTAAAAAATTTAAAAAAAGAAAATCAATACAAGACTTTTATTAGGAATATACAAGGAGCTCTAGGAAATCAACAAGAAAAAAAAGAACAGATAATATGCAAAGGAGGACAGGCAATTTATTAGAAGAAGAAACTCAAGAGGCCAAAAGCATATTGAGACAGGCTGAAACCCATTCACAATGAGAAAAATGTCAATTAAATCAAGAAGCCATTTTTTTATCTGTTAGATAAAAAATCGGCAAAAAGATATAAAAGCTGCATCGTACCACAGTTGGTATGTCTGTAACAATATTACACCTTTACGAACGGCTGGTAGGAATGCAGAGAGCTGGCCACATTAGATTATGGACGGTACATAAAAGCACTGTATCAATGTACATTTTTGAAGTTGAGAGGTGGTTTATAAGCGATAAGTGAAGTTGATCAGTTGACACTGTGGTTATCTAAGGGAAGAGTCTTAGAAAAAAGCATGCCTAGGTATTTAGAGATCAGGAGTCAGGCTGTGTATTACCCTCAACTGATTCTGAAAAAATTATATATGTGTTCCTTGACCTAGCTGTATTTTTTTTGCAGTGTTTTGTAAGTTTAAAATTATTTCCAAATTAAAAAAAAAATTTTTAATGGAACTGGTGAAAAGAGGAGGAGACAGAAAGAGATCTAGAGTATACACCATTTATGTAAGTTACAAATACATGCCCACAAAACCACAATATGTATTTTGACAAGAACACACACAAGCAGACACACATTGAACATACCAGAAAGGTTGGGTGAGGAGGGGGAAGAGCAGCAGGGCACGGACATCAGCAGGAATAACTAATTTCATCAACCAAACAATTCATAACCAATCAGGGAGGACCTATGACATTGGGAGCCCATGAACCAGTGAGCAACCTAACCCACCATACCTGACGTCTAAGGAAAAAGGCCCTTTAGCAAGCAGGCCCTTCAGACTAAATTCCTGCTTCCTACGGACCCAGACACACCATCTCTGTGACCCTCTTCAGAACACATCCTCCCAGCAGCTGAGGGTTTTCTGAAGCAGCGGCTCACCCTACCCACCTGGTATGGAAGTGTTTTCTTTATAACCTGGAGGAGAAAAGGGGAACAGAGATGAAGCAAGAGATCACGAATTAGTTCACTCGTTAGTTCACCAAATATTCCCTCATCGCCCACCTCCATTCCCAGCCAAGACCGGCGGGAGGACAGAGTGTACCAAACAGGTGACACGCTGTCCAGCGGCGGAGACGGAAGTAAACAAAACCACCTGTGTGAGATCAGTGCAAGCACAGGGCCACAGGTTCCAGGAGAGCCCAGAAGAAAGGGGGGACAGGAGGCTCCTGAGAAGCGGGGTTATTGTGCCAGGTGTTAAAGACGGAAAGAGGGAAAAAAACAGAAAAGTGACAATGGCATTCCTTGCAAAAGAAACACCATGGTGTATGCCAGAGCCTCCAGAGAATAAAAGACAAGGCCAAGGATGGCAAGAAATGATGGAGGAAGAGTCAGGGGTCAATCACCAGGGGCCTCATAAGCCAGGCCGAGAAGCCAAGAGACCCTCTGGGAGGAGGGAGGCCAGTGGAAGGGTGACATAGTCAGGCTTGGAGGGTGAAGAGTAAGTAGGAAGGTGACAAGACTGCAGGCAGTCCGATCCCACCAGAGCCTCTGCAGGACCCAGCAGGAAAGGAGGTGGTCTACATGAGGAGGCGGCAGTGAGAATAGACCTGGTGAGCTGGATGTGGGATGCAGGCAGATGGCTCCGTCTAGGATGACCCCCAGTTTCTGCTTTTAGAGAGGAGTGCCTACTATCCACCGCCTTAGAGAGCAGAGTAAGAGAACCCAGTTTATAGGAAGATGAGAGGCTCCGCTTTGGACCCCAGGGAGCTGAGATGTTTCTAGGTCATGCAGCAGGCGGTTGCACTTGCAGATCCGTTGCTCTGTGAGGCGCCATCACAGGAATTGCAGCTCAGTGCCCGGGGCAAGCGAAAAGGGAACCCAGACAGCACGGCAGGGAACAGGCATGAACAGAGCATGGCTGGCCTGGGAAGCCCGCGGGGAGCAGGAGAGTTACCCTGAGGCAGAGGCGAATCGGGAGGCACGGCCTGAGAAGCCAAGGGCCTCGAAAAAATGAAAACGGAGGAAGTGGTAGAAGGGTCGGGGACACGGCAGGAATGGGCCAAGGATTCAGGGGCAAGTGAGGAAGCCCTGGATGGAAGCATGAAGTGGAAACTGCTACTTCGAGAAATCTGGCATTGAGGGGGAAGGGACGGGGAGAAGAAACTACAGCGAAGAGGAGAGGATGAAGATGGGCAAGAATTTGACGGAGGAGCACAGCGCGGGGAGGGCCTGCCGCGCAGAGCAGGGTGAGCGCGCTGACCTCGAACAGGAGGGAAGTCTCTGATTGCTAAAGAAACGGGGGGGGGGGGGGGGCGGCGAGCCCCGGGGCTCGGGGGGGCCCCGGGGGGCTGGAGGCCGTCAAGGGGGACAGCACCCGGGGGCCTGCGTCTTCGGGGTGAATGAAGCAGCGGCGAGCGGGGCGCCAGGGGGAACAGAGGCCGGGGATGAAGAGGGCCGGTGGGAGCCGGGTTTCAGCGCAGGGAGGCCACGGGAGGCCTGCCCGCAGCGCATGCGCAGCGGCCTGCGGCGGCGGCGGGAGAACGGGAAGCGGGAGACCTGACCAGGCCCCGACGGGCGGCTAGGGTCTCAGCCACGACGTCCGCGGGCATGGACTGGGGAGCAAGTGGCCGCGAATCGGGAGAAGATGCGGGGGTCCTCGGCACTGCTGGTCCCCAGGAGGCGGCAGGGCGCGTGGCGCCTGAGGAAGGAGGCCAGAGCGGGGCCGGCAGGAGTCTGGCGACATCCTGGGGGGTGACAGTGGAGGACAGGGGACCAAGGGGGGGGCACAGAGTCCCACGGGCCAAAGAGCTAGAAACGCGCTCAAGTTCGTTGACGGGGGGATGGGAGGCAGAGGGGAGGGCAGCGGGGGTGGGGTGGGTACAGGGAAGGTGGCAGACGGGGCGGACGGAGGGACACACGCTGGCGGAGGAGGCGCCGCCCTACCCGAGGTCAGCAGCGGCAGCAGCAGCAGCAGGATGCAGCGGCTCAGGCCCCAGGGCCCCGAGGCTCGAGGCCCAGCGCTGCGGCTGAACGTCAAGGCGGCCATGAGGCCCAGGAGGTGCCACCTAACGGGGCAAACACGGCGCCGCGAGCCCCGGCAGGTGATGGCGACCCTGCCGCGAGCAAGGGCGCCTCTAGCACGTGATGGAGTTCCGGGCGCATGACGGCCGCGCCAGCCCGGGACAATGCCCCGGACATTCCCCCTGCACCCATGGGCGCGTCTCCTGCATCCGCACCCACACCTCGTGCCTGTTCCTTGAAGATGGCCTCGGAGCCCGGGATCTGAGATTGCCTCCAGGGTGGCCAACTCCATGAAAGCACCCCCAATTGCTTTAAGTTGGGGACGGTGCCCCCAGTCTCTGGACCTCTGAGGGTACCTTTGTCGCCCAGCCTCTGACACACCCTTGGTCCCCTGGGCTTGGTGCATGGGAAAGGTTTGCAAGTTATGTTGATCTGAGAATCTGAAAAGATGTGGGAAGCACAAGAAAGGAAGAGTAAGGTGAGGGAATCCCGGAAGATGTCTTCAGGAAACTGACATTGGCGCTGGACCTAAGACTGGAATAAGGAGTCTTGGGGAAGTCCTGAGAGAGGAAAGGCATTCCTCTTCTTCCACGGACAACCGATCAGATGGTCGCACCCGAAAGAGATGGTGGTGGATGCCAGGCCATCGCAGAGCAATTTTGCAGGATACAGTCTTTGCATCTGCTGGGTGTGGCAGAATCAGGAGCAGACCACCAAGATTCCTGCTTCTCTTGTCTAGTGGCAGGGAGGGGGCGTCCAGTTCTAGGGTCCACATAATGAGTTCCCACCACTGACAGGTGAGTGGAAGTACTGTGTGCCACTTCCATGTCACGGTGGTCAAGAGGAGGATGCCTTCTCTACTCGTGTTCATGCCGAGCAGTGGTGCCCAGAGCGGCAACACCATCACCTTGCTAGAGATGTAGTTCTCAGGCCCGCCCCAGACCTACAGGACTGAAAACTCGGGGAGTGGAACCAGTGATGTCTATTTTACCAAGCCAGAGAGAGAGAGAGAGAGAGAGAGAGAGAGACGCTGGGACACTGAGCCAGAGAAAGAGGGTAAAGAGCCAGTGCCTAATACAATAAATCTCACTTGCCTTCCTCCCAGTAGGAGCACAAATGTTTAACAAAATGGAGGGGACAGGGCGCCTGGGTGGCTCAGTCGGTTTAGCATCTGCCTTCAGCTCAGGTCGTGATCCCAGGGTCCTGGGATTGGGCTCCTTGCTCAGTGGACGCCAAGCAGAATTGGAGGAAAGGGCATTTGAGTAGGAGGGGGAGGTCGGAGGAGAGGCCCAGTGCAAGACCCGGAAACAGGAGGGGGGTGGGCCGGGGTGATCACGGGGCCACCAGGAAGCCCAGGGGCAGCAGCAGACACAGAAGTGGGAAGGAGCCTGCTGAGTCCCAAGAGCAAGCCTGACTCAGGTGATCAATGACCCAGTCCTTGTAGAAACTAACTTCTGTATAAACTCCAGGATAATTTCTGCGACCGCAGCCAATGCCCCAACTCACAATCCCCACCTGGACCCATGTTTCATTAAGTTCACGGACCAGGGGCCCCCCAGAGTCTCCCTGGAGAAAGAGAAAGAAACAAACACAGGAATGGAAGAGAATCAACATCAGAACTGGTTGATCGCACTGCGAGGGTTGGGGAGATGGGCACACGTGGGGCTTCCCCAGGACTCCCCTGAAGGCTCCACCAGCCCTAAGTTTCTGGGAATATTTGAGAGTTGAAAACTAAGTGAAAACTTGAACAACCTCTGAGAAATACTCCTGCTTCGCATGTGCTCATGGATGCACACAAGATATATAGCCAGTAGGCCCCAGGGCAACAGTACTGTTAATAATGTGTTGAAATCCTCTTCGAATGCCCCTGTTCCTCCATTGCCCCTGACCTGTCCCCCATGGTCCTCTCCAAGCCTCCCATGACCCAGCAACCAAAGGGGTACCCCTGGCACAGTATGCAGCCTCCAGAGCCCTACTCCAGCTCTAAGGCTCATGTCTATTCTGATTGGCCGGTCCTGGGCCTCCACGGATGTGAAATACTTTGAATATCAACCCTGCATTGGAGGATCCCATAATCCTCACCTCCAACCTGAAATACTCCCTGACCTTAAACCCGCAGAGCCAACACCACACACACATCAGTTCCCTGTCTCCAGACTATCCCAGACATCCCATATACACCCCATCTGATGCAGAACCCTGCCTGTCCTCTCCCAGACCTGCTCTGGGGCCCCCGCCCCCACCAGCCAGCTCAGACAGAAACAGAGAGCCCTCCCAACTTCGCCCTCGCCCCCACCCTCCCAGCAGGCAGTCACCAAGAACTCACGACTCAACCTCAGACACACCCCTTTCACCCCCTCATCGCCCCGGGTCCTGCTCGGGACCCCGCATCATCGCCTAGATGATGGAAACAAACACCTAGCCTACAGTCCTGCCCAGATGGCGTTGAGAAACTCGGCCCAGCGCTCCAGGCCACACGGATTCCAACTGCAGCCCTCTTCTCTGGCCACCTCATTGCTCCAGACCTGGAAGACAGGCCCTACACGTGACAAGTTCCCTCAGACCTCGGAGCCACTGTCCGTGCCGCTCCCTCTCCCTACAGCGCTGTTCTCTTTCCAAGAAATCCAAATACTCATCCTCTGAGACCCAGCTCAAACGCCCCCTCCTCCGGAAAGCACTCAGAGCAGGAGGAAGACGGTGGGCCCAGGAGGCCTGCAGGCATGCACAGGGGTCCCTGAGCTAGCACCTTTGGACCTCCCCTCATCTGTGTGACAGGTATGATGTCTATGTGGCAGGCTTATGACGGGGGTTAACAGAGCTCATGGGGGTGAATGCTCCCACTGGCTCACACAGGAAGTGCCACATAGGGGGAACTCAATTCAAGGAACGTAGAGTATTAGGACTACCCGCCCCCAACTTCCCCACACCTTGGCAGGGCCCCCAGGCAGCAAGGAGCAGGCCCGGCCAGCTCCAGGGAGCCACGAGGGGTTCTCCCCATGAATCTCCTTCACTACGGAGGGAAAGGAGGATGTGGCCGACCACGCAGGCCCTGGCACTTGGGAATGAGGAAGCCTGGGGGGGACACTGTTACCGAAGAAGCCACAACGGAGCCAGGAACTGACCTTGCAGAGACTCTTCCCTTCTCGATAGCCACAGACCATCCCTTTCTTCACTCGGTTGCGAAATGTTCGTAACCATGTCCACAGCATCTTGTTACATTTCTTGTGGCGAAGAATGAGTTGCTCGGTCTCCTGAAGACGAACTGACACGGGTGCTGGAGCGACAAAGTCGGGGTCTGCGTGAGTGGACAGCACAGGAGTCCCTCAAACCCCCTCTGTGACCTCACACTCTTGCCCCCTCAGAGGCGTCGGGGCAATGGATACTGTCCCACTGACAGGAGGGAACGGAGGCTGTGGGGGTGAGGGGAGAGGGAGAGGAAGAAGTAAGAAAGGTCATGGCAGGAGAAGGAGGGACCCCTCAGGACAGAAAGAGCCCAGGCCTTACAAACCGGAAGAGAAAAGCAAGCATCACTCTGAGTCCCAAGAGTAAGTGACAAGTGTCCTGTGCCGAGCAGAATCACAGACTCTCAGACAGGGAGTGCCCCCAAAGCTTGCAGTCCAGCCTCTTCCCCGAGATAGGAGGCCCTCCAGCCTCCCCAGGAGGGTTGCTCTGGCTCAGCCCACACCCCCTGGCGCGAGCAGCTCCCTCCCCACCAAGGGGAGGTGGGACTGGTAAGTGGGGACCCGAAGGGGCAGCCTGGGGTGCTGGTGTTGGCCCACAGGTGGTCGCACCAGGCACAGGGAGGCTGAGGCTTTAACAGGGGGACAAGAGAGGATGTCCCCACCAGGGACTTCCATGGAGGGGCAGTTCTGACTGGCAGCCAGCTCATCCCCCCCGGAGCTGAAATCCGTGCTGAACAGAACCCATCATCCCTGGCCCCCGAGCCCCCACGTGCTAACATTCTCACAGCAATTCTTGTTTTAATGATTTTCTTTTATTTGAGAGAGAGAGTACGCACAAGTAGGGAGAGGGGTCAAGGGAGAGGGAGAAGCAGACTCCCCACTGAGCGCGGACCCTGGGATCCTGACCTGAGCCGAATCAGATGCTTCACCGACTGAGCCCCCCAGGCGGCCCTCATTAAGCAATTCCTAGCGGTTCGGTTACTCCCTGGTAATACCTCTCATCCTCTCTTGTCCCCCTGTTAAAGCCTCAGCCTCCCTGTGCCTGGTGCGACCGCCTGTGGGCCAACACCAGCACCCCAGGCTGCCCCTTCGGCTCCCCACTTACCAGTCTCACCTGCTGCCAGTTGGCCCCAGCCAGTCACCCAGCATTTTGTCCCACTTTCCACGCGGAGAGACCTTTCGGGGAGACACACAGGCTGGACGTACGAGGAGTAATTCACCGAGAAGGCCAGCAGAATGAGGGCGATGTCATGTCTCAACGTTCTACTGTCGTAAAAGTGATGGCAAACGATGTCTTCCACCGGAACCAGCAGCGTTGTTTCGGAATGAGAATGTACCAGTTTGTCTCCCAGCCTCACTGTATGTTCCTCGTGGCTGTGGGAAAGGACATGCCCTTCCCAGAGATCCCGGAGGGTCTACACTCCCCTTTCCACAGTTTCCAGCTTCTTCCCAGCCTGGTCCCGTCTCCTCGGCCAGCATCAGGCCCTTGCCTGCTTGCACACCACATACAGTCCCCAAGCCCCGAACCACTCCAGCCAGTGGTTCTCCAAGTGAGGTCCCGAGACCACCAAAGCAGCCCCAGGGAACTTGGTAGACATGCGAATTCTCAGGTCTCACTCCAGACTGAATAAAACCTAGGGCGCTGTGACTCCTTTCCAGAGGAGGAAGGGGAAGCTCGGGGATGGGGACCCAACGGGCTCCAGGTCACAGAGCCCCTGACACTCACCTAATTATGCAGTGGGCAGCGGTCAGCACCCACCGACTGGCAATGAGAGAGCCTCCGCATATGTGTCTGTCATTGATCTGCAGGCTCACCTGCCAGGGCCACTTCCGCTCTGCGGTGGGCAATCCACTGGCTATCCTCAT